TGCCCGGCCACACCTGGTCTCCGTGGAGACGCCCCTCAGGAAAGTCCGGCTGACCACTGGCACCTCTGCCTCTGCTACCTGGCTGAGTAAATGAGGTGGCTCTCGCCAATGCAGGTGGGCATTGGCCAGCCCGTTGAGGGCCTGAAAAGAACAGAAAAGCAGAGGAAGGGCAGATGTGCCCGCTGCTGAGCTGGGACACCCACCTTCTCTCGCGCTGGGTCTCCGGACTCGACCTGAGACTCACACCATCCCTCCATGCTCCCCAAGCTTTTGGCCTTGAACTAGAACCACCCCATCGCTTTCCTGGGCCTCCAGCGTGCAGCAGCCTATCATGGGATTGCTCAGCCCCTATCATCGGGTAAGGCAAATCCCTCATAATAAAACTCTCTCTGTATGTCTTAAAAGAAAAAAAAAGAATCGCCTGGCATGATTGCTGACCAGTTCCTGGACAGCCTGAGTAGGTCTCTCCAGGGGGTTGTGAGGTGGTGGTCAGAGGGCCGCAGTTTGAGAACCACATTCTTGGGCATTTGCTAGGGACCCGCACCACATCCTGCATCTCAAGGCTTATCTTCGGGGACTAGTTTAGTAAAATTTGCAAACTGGGCTGGTGTAGGCAGCGCCCCGCTGGACGTTTCTCTGGATGGTCCTGGCATGCAGCAGCTGCCCTCCAGCTTTGCACACTCTTACAGCACGCTGTCCTTGACCACAGGAAAGCTCCGTTCTCAAAATGTGCTTCCCGAAGCTCAGCAGCACCGGGAAGTGGTTCCACATGCAAATTTATGGGTTAACCCAGGATTGAGTGAAAGGGAAACTTGGAGGGGGGCGGGGTCGGCGGCCTGCAGTCGGGGCTTTCACCAGCCCCAGGGGATCCCGTAGTTGAGGCCTGGGAGGCGGGGCTTGTTCTCCACGCTCCCGAGGGGGCGGGCCCCGAGCCTCCATCCATGGCTTACTCTCCTCTAACGTGCCCATCACCTAAACCGTATACTGTATATGGCGGAGAGACAGTTTTGGCGTCTCTGATTCATTTGCTCTTTTATTGAACAAATACTCAACAGCTCTCGCTGCCAGGCATTCTTCTGGGTCCTGGGGGTACAGGGATAAGACTGCGCTTTCGCAGAGATACATGTGTGATGTCGAAGCATGGTAAGGGCAAAGCAGGGTGCCCGGGTGGGAGGGAGTGGGGAGGGGAAGGGCGCTCTGTTTTTTCTTGGATGACAGGGAGGACATGTCCAGGCGGCAGAGTGCTCTCCCTCCCTCTCACCCCCGCCACCCTCAAAGACGCACAAGTGCCCGAGAGAGACCTTTTCCTTTTCTTTTTTTTTCTTTTTTTTTTTTTTAAAGATTTTTATTGGGGAATTGGGGGGATGGGAACAGTGCTGGGGAATTGGGGGAAGGGGAACAGACAAGTTGCTGTCGTCTTGTTCTTCAATCTAGTTGTGGAGGATGTTGCTTCACTGGCCCAAGTTGGCACCATCATTGCGCTCTTCCCGGGCGAGGCAGATCAGTCGCCGGCTTCTGGAAGGCCGCTCACTGTGGCTGCTGGCCGCTCACGCTGGCTGCTGGCTACATACGGTAGCCCATGGCAACCCACTGCCACAGGGACTGCAGCCTACGCCGTCGCCGGCGACTCATGGCAGCCCAGCTCCAGGTTGAGCTGTTGTTCAGCATCTTAGCTGTAGAGGGCAGTGTCACTGGCCCTCATATGTGGGATCCGAACCGGGGCCCTCTGGCATCCCAAGCGAGTTCTTAACCATCGCGCCACTAGGCCGGCCCTTCCTTTTCTCAATAAAGTAGTTACATTGAATTCATAACATTGATGGTGTCCATTGTCTCAAACTATACTTGTTCCAGAGGCTGGGTCAGAGCTGTATAATAAGGTGCTGGTAGGATTTTCTCTTTCTAAACCCAAATTGCACCTTCTTAGGGCAACGCTTTCTCTTTTCTCTGAGAAACCCACTTCAACACAAGTCTCCTACAGCACTATCCTGCGCTCCCCCACACCAGCCCGGACTCTTACGGCTGCAATCACATACCCCACACTCGGTGCCCGGCCTGTTGGCTCTTTTTATCACCATGGTTAAGTGGGTCCCGCTGGATGCAGAGCTTGAGGCAGGAACTTGGATACAGTGATTTCTTGAGGAAACACACATGTAACTGACTGAGGGACGCAGGTTAGTTAAGGGGAAGGAACGGAGCAAGGACAGGGACACCGGGAGTCTGGCCTTAGCACCACAGCGTTATCCCCTTGCCAGGCAATGGGCCTCCCCTGGTGGGGTGTGCATGCAACTTTCTGGGGGAGTCAGCTCCTGCCGTCTGAGGGTAATTCCCGGGAGAAGGAGGCTGGGCACCACTAGTGGCCAACACTCCCACTGGGCACTGTGGGGAAGGAAATGGGTGCCCCCACACACACCAAGAAGGGCAACCGGGGCGAAGTCCCACAGTGCCTCCTGCTACTATCTTGCAGAGTATCTGTTTTGTTTTCTTTTTTTGAAGCAATAACTCAGCTCTACCCCATGTTACAGATTTCAAGATACTTTTGTTTTTAATTTTATTGGGGAACAGCCATGGTCATTGGTTACACATTGCTTTCATGCTACAATGGCATAGTTGACTCTTTTAAGGAGGACGCCACTCACAGTGGCCCATGTGGGGATCGAACCAGCAACCTTGGTGTTATCAGCACCACGCTCTAACCAACTGAACTAACCGGTCACCCCATTTCGTTCCTTTTAAGAAGCCTGAAAAAAAAAAAAAGTCACTTTTGGCCTTGGCTGAAGCCCAGGTTCAGGGCCTCAAGTTAGAGACCAGTGTTTCCTCCAGCCTTTTAATCTGTGCTTCCCTAATATTTGTCTTGAGTCTTTGTGTTTACAGAAGATGCTCTTTCTAAATGTTTAATCCTTGCGTCACTGTTTGCATCTGTTTCTTTTGCGTTCTTACTAGCGTCTGGCTCAGTGGAAGCCATCAGGTGCTTCACATCTGCTGTTCCCTTGGCATCGCCGAGGGTTATGGGAAAGGCCAGGTGGGCCTCCTCTGGCTGGCGGTGGGAGGTGAAGCAGGCGCTTGACAATGGCCCGAGTGATCCCCGTCTACTGGTATTCAAGCAGTGTAGTCCCCTCCTCACGTGTGTGGGCTGGACCTAGGGGTCTCTCTGTAAACCCAGAGGGATCCTACGTGTTATCTCCCAGCACTGCTCCTCAACACGGGGGGGACTTGACTTTGCAGGGATGGAAGGTACGTGATTGATGGGAGGTTCTGAAAGAGGAAGGGTGAGGTAGGAAGGGGGCACTGTGGGCACCTCGATACCTGGGAAGAAACAGCAAGGGGCAGAGATGGGCAGCTTCGGATGGGAAGACAGAGGCAGTACAACTCTGGACATTGAGAATCAGGTTTGTCCATCACAGTCATGGTCACCATTCTGCACCGTTTTCCTTCCCTCTAAATAGCCGCTCCTCCTCCTGGCATGTTTCTCTTCTTCGCCTTCTGCAAAATCTCACTGGCCCACTCCTTCCTTATGTTCACCTATGTATTTATTTGTTGAACAAATATTTATTGGCAAACATTGTATGAGATTAGTTGTTAGGATATAATGATGATTCTACTGGTAGATGCAATATAGTCCCTGCTCTGGGGGTTTGTAGCCTAGAGGGCGAGAGAGACAATCAAATAGTCACCTAAATGCGTAATTACAAATACCAACAGGAGCTGAGAACCGGAGCACTCAGCAAGCACTGAGTTCAGTCTTCATTAACGAAACGTGAGTGTTTACTGTCTGCATTAACAGGGCTTACCACTCCAGAAAGCTCAAGTTGCAAACAGCTGAATTGTTTGTTTGGGAAAATCCATTTATCCAAATTGAGACTTCCCAACTCGCTCTCATTAGGGTAGACATCCCTTTCTCAGGGTAGTAGGTCGCTTAATTCAGGCCATCAGATGACTTTTCAAGGCTGCTTCAAAGCCCTTGCCTGGCCATGCCCACAAATCCTAAAATAGTGTGTTATGAACTTTCCCAAGCCCAGTCAGAAGTCATTAGAAGAGCTGCCTTAAACCAGCCCCCCAAAATATTGTAAATATTCCAACTGTGCCCTCCCCCTCTGAGATGTGACTATGAGTACAGTTTTAAGGCTGTTGTCCCACTAATCGTGGGAGCAGACAATGGTTCTTTGAAGAAGGGGATTACAACTCCTGAAATTTTCATAAGATACCTCTATCTTTTTGTACTAGTTCTTGAAGAGCTGCCTTGTTCTCTGTTAGGTTTCAGGGCAGTCGTTACAAATGTGCGGACTTTCTATAGCTAGCCCCCCATTGATGGACTTGCAGGTCATTTTCAATTTCTTGCTTTACAAGTGTGTGTGTGGGGGGGGGGCGGGGAGGGTATACTGGTAGGATCAGTTCCTAGTAATGGAATTGTTGGGTCAAAGGTACTCACTGTTCATAGCAGCACTATTCCCAATAACCAAAATGTGGAAAAGACCCAAATGTCCATCAACTGGAGGGAATGGATAAACAAATTGTGGTATATACACACAATGACATATCATTCAGCCATAAAAAGGAACAAAATACTGACACATGCTACAACATTGTCAAACCTCCAAAACATGCCACATGAAAGAAGCCAGACACAGGTCACATAGTTCATACTTCCATTCATACGAAATGTCCAGCCTGGGTAAATTCATGGAGACAGAAACCAGACTGGTGGTTGCCAGGTGCTGGGGGTACAGGGGGAGTGGGAAGTAACTGCTTAATGAGTACATTGTTTTAAGGTTCTTGGGGACACTCACTACCATGTGACCCTGATCAAATCACTTCACCTCTCGGAACCTCAAATGCTTCATCTGTAAGATGGAGACAATAACGCCTACCTCGCAGGGCCGTCATGAGGATGAAATAAATGCGCCCCGCACCCAGTACATGTGCAACACAGACTCTAATGGTTCATTCACACATTTATTGGGCGAATATTACTGACCACCTACCGATGCTGGGCACTGTTCTAGGTGCTGGGGACACAGCAGGGCAAACACTTCACTCCTGGGGATAGAAAATTACCAAATAAGCAGGTAAATACAAGTATCAGGTGGTGACAGAAACAAAGGGAATGATGCAGGGAGGGGTCAGCCAGGCAGCAGGGGAGGCTGTGTGATTAAGGCAGTCACAGTTCATCCAGGGATGCACATTTTTACGGGGAATAGACCCTTATTATTTTTCATTCATCTGTTTTCTTGGCTAATTCCTGTTTCCAAGAAGTCAAGGGTCTTACAGTTCTGTGGAACTGCCCAGTGCCTGTGACGGTGGCCAGGTCTGACTACTGATGGAACCAGTGGCTCCACGTGGCTGGCCCCATCTGGGTTGTGGCAGGGCTCAGAGTTGGGGGTGGGGAACGTATTCTATGAGCTGTTCTTCCGAGGTCAGCCTGCAGGGCCGCACAGGGTTTTTATGTTCCACCGTGAGTGCCAGGGTGGACATGGTGAGCAAACTACATGGAAAGATGAACAAGAAAATGCTTCCATTCTGTGCGTGCTGGGCATTCAGGAGAGGAGGTCCCAGGGTCTGGGGCCCACAGTGCTGCCTGATCAGGGCTCAGGAGTGTAGGACAGAGCAAGGAGTCCAAGCCAGGGCCTGATACCAGGCAGGCCACATGCTCCCTCATCAACTCTCAGTAACCCCAAATCCAAAAGGCGCCTCCTTCCCAATTTTCCCAGCCAGTCCTGTACAGGGTGGAGGTCCTGTATTCATCATCCCTGACTCATTCGAGTGGTCTGGAAGCAGCATTACGTGGATCGGTGAAGCAGGGAGTAGCTGATGTCAGAGAACGGCCAGGCTGCTGGGTGTGGACCCAGCTCCTTAGGAGCCGGGAAGTGCCCGAGACTCACCAAGCTCGGGCCCTCCTTCAACCTCTGGGCCTTTGCACATGCAGTTCCCTCTTCTCAGAAAACTGTTCCCTGCACTCTGCCAGGCTGACCTCCAGTCTCCACTCAAATTCCGCCTCCTCCTAGCGGCCCCTCACACTCTCTGCTGGCTGGCTGCCTGGTAGGTCAGTCTGGATTCGGGCGGGGCGGCTTCGATGGTTTCCCGTGTCCCGCAAGAGGCGCTCGGGAAACGTCCTGGGGCCAGGGATACCGCACAAACACACGCACGCCCATCCACACGCAGAACCCTTTTGGGGCCACGAAGGGGGGCTCCGCGCGGATCCCACCCACCCTGCTTGCAAACCCACCTGGCAGGGGGCGTGCACACACACGGACCCGCCCCAGCCACAGACCACTCGGATCCGGGCACACAGACACGCAGGAGCGGTCGCCCACGCACGCTTGGCCACACGCAGGCCCCCTTCTCAGTCACACACAGAGACACGCGCAGGCGCATGGACACGACAGCCAGTTCCCGTCCAGACGCCCACCCGGAACACGGCGCACACTGCGCGCAGGCGCGGCCCCGAGTCCCCGCCCCGCTCCCGGCCGCGCCCGTGGGGGCGGGGCGCCCGTGGGGCGGGTCCTGCGACACCGCCCGGGAAGCTGCGCGCGGCTGGGCGGCCCCCGCCACATCCTCCTCCTCTTCCAGGTCCCAGCCAGCGGAGCCGGGCCAGGGCCGAGCCGAGGGCTCCGAGGGCGCGGGCGGAGCGGGGCGCGGAGCCATGGCGCACCAGACGGGCATCCACGGTGAGGGCGGATGGAGGGCGGGCAGGGGGCAGAGGGTCTCCGCCCGCGGCTGCGCCCCCTCCCCAGCTCGGCCCCTGTCTCCTCCCCGGCACCAGCCCGCAGGAGCTTCCTCTTCTCTTTTTGCAGCTGCAGATCGCCTGGGGTGGGCACATCTGGGTGGGGGGCGGACTTACTGTGCATAGTCGGGAATAGATGTACCTATACGTACACAGCTGGGGCGGAAGTATCTGTGTGCCCATCTGGGGTGGATGCGCCTGTGTGACCATCTATGGATTTTTGTACCTTCTAGGGGTGGGTGTATCCGGATGCGCACATCTGGGGGAATGTGCACGCATGTGCACTTGTCTGCACAATCCCGTGTGTGCTCATCTCGGTACGCACGCACTAGTAGCTGATTGAATGGACACAGTAACATGGAACCATCTTTAGACATCAGTGTTTCGTGACTGTCACACGTCTGTGGGTGTCTGTGTGTGTGCACAATTTGGGTGCATCTCAGTGTGCATATGTTACCATGGATGCATGTACCGGATGTGTATGTCTTGTATGGGTTTGTGTCTGTTTGAGGAGGGGGTCCTGACCTTTGGCTCCTCCCAGGACCCTCACACACTCATGCAAGCTAGGCTGGAGGAAACCTGGGATAGGGCCCCCAAAGTGGAATGGGGAGAGTTGCCAGCCTGACCTTGACCTCAGATCTCCCTCCCATCTTCCACTCTGATCTTCTAAGCCTGTCTCAGCCAGGGTAGGATGGTTCTAGCTCCAGGCTGGGGACAGAGAAGAGGATCAAATATGGGGTTTGGGGGACGGTCCTGGCCCTAAAGACTCCAGGCCAGCTCCCCACACCCCAAGCTTCTCTAATCCAGAGCACCACCCCCCTTCTCCCAAGGGCCCCGATTTCCTCCTTAGATAGGCTGGGAGAGAAGAAGTGGCCAGAAGCCAGATGTCCTGACCCTACCTGGGCCTCAGTGTCCCCCTCCACTGGCCTGGGAGGGCTGCCTGGCCTGTGCAGAAGGCCCAGGCCACTTGCCCAGAGCCTGGTGGTTTGGCCATCAGCCATTCCTCACACCACACCAGGATCCCCACCCTGGGCCACCGCCATCGACCGCCCTGACCACCTGGATCTCAGCTTGTGGTTGTGGACACTTGGTGGCTAGACAGCCCTGAGAGGGTTTCCCTGGCCCCACCCCGCCAGGACCAGCAAGACGTGGGCCTGTGTTGGGGCAGCCTCCAGCCAGGTGGGCCGGCCTCTCTCCAAGAGGAGCTGGAGAGGCTGTTTCATGACTCAGCCCCACAGGAGGGAACAGTCACCCGCAGGACCTGCCTCTTCCTTCCCCTTTGTCTGGTCATTGCTGCTGCCTCCAGCTGCGAGGGGATCAGAAGTTAGGGCTCCTCCTCCGTGCTCCAGGCCCACAGGTCCAGTGGTCAGGCATCTGCTTCACTGTCACTTCCCATATGGTGAGACAGGTCTGCCTAGGGGACCATCGGAGACTAGGCCACCGCAGCCCTCCTCCTGTCTCTAAGCAGCCCACTCCTCATTTCTGGCCTGGGGAGGTGGGAAGAGAGACTGCCCTGGACGCCCAGGTGCCAGTCCTGTCCTGGCCATAGGTGTGAATCTGCTGACCTCAGAGCAGGGCAGGGGAGGGACCTGTAACCGAACCTCACAGGGTGGGGGGCGGGGTAGGCAAAGCAGCGGGGGACATGAATCTTTGATGATAGAAGCTCAGGTGTCCCAGACCTGGCCTCTGGATTATTGATGGTGGCTGAGGAGGCATTGGGTGGTG